TTTTTAGTTTCAGAAAAATCATCTGAGCAGAAAAAAAAGCTGACGCCAACAAAAAAAGAACAAACTAACACTAAAAGAAAGTGAAGAACTGGTGAAATTGGTACTCCAGTGAGTCTTGCATCTTTGAATCACAGCCATCCATTCTGGAGATGAATGCACAAGCCAGTCCCTTCTACCACAGGCAGGTACAGAAGGAGCTCAATGAGGAACAGCTCTCCTCAGTAGGACTGTGGGCAGGAAACTGCCTGCCAACCACACCTCAGTAAACACAGAGCATCCCTTCTTCATTGGACTTTGTGGTTTAAACTGACTTCCAACTAGCTGCAGGAGATAAATTCCTTCCCTGCACAGCCTACTTCTAGAGCTCTGACTGTTATTCCTAAACCCCAAGGAAATGGAGGCACTTTCTAAAACAGAAAGGTCTGGAAGCAGGGTATAGATACCAAGGAGAAACCTGGGAACTGGGGGAGAAGTTTGGGGACAGGAGGAGATGCCTGGGGACAGGGGGAGAATCTTAGGGACAGGAGGAGATGCCTGGGGACAGGGGGAAAAGCCTGGAGACAAGACAGTACTTGGTTGTGATTCCAGTGGTGGGAACACTATGGTCCACATGTGATAATTATAGACACGCAAGTCCATCCCTAATGAAGAGTAAACAAAAATTAAAAAAATGTAAACAAGAAATACAACTGAGATCATAGTATTATGTAAAAATTGGTATTTTTAAGAAGAAGAGGAGGAGGAGGAGAAAGAAGAAGAAAAATGTATTTGTATTGGAAATACCATGATTCAATTCTAGAATATTGTCTTCTAAAACACCTGAGCGCTGTGAGACAATGGTCTTGTACCCTGTCATTTGTATTGTTTTAATAAAATACTAATTGGTCAGTAGCCAGACAGGAAGTAAAGGAGAGGCGATAAGAATAGGAGAATTTGGGGAAAAGAAAAGACTCAGTCCATAGTCATCACTCAGACACAGTGGAAATAAGATGAGAACACCTCGCTGATAAAAGGTACCAAGTCACGTGGCTAACACAGACAAGAATTATGGGTTAATGTAAGATGTAAGAGTTAGTTAATAAGAAAGGCAGAGCTAATAGGCCAACCAGTTTATAATTAATATAAGCTTCTGTGTGTTTTGTTGGGACTGAACAGCTATAGGACCAGGTGAGACAGAAATGTCTGTCAACAAATGGCACCAACATGGACAACCACATCCACATAAAACCTGAGAGAGTTTGGAAAGTAATTCTAGACAAAAAAGAAAGAGATAAGCATGGATTCTTGGTAGCAGCATTTTCTTAGGTGGGTTCTGTTTGCTAGAGGAAAGTATGTCTCATTTAAGAGAGGTTTCCTGATTCAGCTTTAGCTGCAAAAGCCTTGAAGCTCTTTTTAAGGGGTCCCACTACCAAACACTTAAATGGTGTTTATGAATAGCCAAGAGCATGCTTCTGGGTGGTGGCAGGAACCTTGAAACTCCATAGACTTGTGGCAATAAGTGTGGCTCCTGTCAGTACATCTGGCATGAAGCTAGACTCTCAAAAGCTAAAAGATGGGGTGGATCCAACCATCAAAGCCACACCTTTAATCCTAGCTATAGCAAATTAAAGACTCATGTGATCATAAAAAGCAGAGATTTACAGTAAAGATAGAATCAAACAAATAAACAAACAAACAAAAAAAACCCAAATCTTTAAATGGTTTACAGTGTTTAAAAATATATGTACGCTTGGGAGAGAAGTCTGTTAAAAGAAAGAAAGAAAGAAAGAAAGAAAGAAAGGAAGGAAGGAAGGAAGGAAGGAAGGAAGGAAGGAAGGAAGGAAGGAAGGAAGGAAGGAAGGAAGGAAGGAAGGAAGAAAGAAAGAAAGAAAGGAAAGAAGGAAGGAGAGAAGGTGGTGTGGTGGCATACACCTTTAATCCCAGAACTTGGGAGACAGAGACAAGCAGATCTCTGTGAGTTCAGGGACAGCCTGGTCTACAGAGTGAGTTCCAGGAAGCCAAAGATACACAAAAATCCTGTCTCAAAAAACCAAAAACAAAAAAGAAAAAGAAAAAAATAGAGTTCAAAATAAAGTCATGTAAAGATGGAAAAATATACAGAGTCTGGATACTGTATGTTATTGTATTGTCTTTGAATTGTTTGAATGTTGAGGAAGGAGCAATAGCTGTTAAAAAAACATTTAATTATAAATGCTGCTGGATTAATCCAACATATGTGTTTTGAAATGCCTTAACTTCAAAATTTAAGTCAATGGATATATTACTTTGGAGAAAAGGTTTTGCTTTTATTTTGACAGAAAATGAGAGGCTGTGGATTCATTCTGTGTTAAGAAAAATCAGATATGATCAAGGAAGACCCCCTAAAAGTCTCCAATAGAGAGGATGGCCCAGATGATCCAACATTTTAGAGAACCTCTGTTGGAGTTTCATCTGAGTTCTACATCCAGAACAGCCTCAAAACTGCTGGCTGTGATGATCAAGCCTCACAGAATACTCTTGTCAGGACTTGATAATAATTCTAAGTTTTCCTTAGGTCCCCATAAGATTATCAGTGCCCCCAGTCAGCAGGAAGTGGCCTGGAAAACTATGCCCACATTCCCAAAAAGTGGATTATGGATATTTATCTTTGTTTAGAGTATTGGTTACAAGTTGTTATGGTTAATGATCTGGAAAAAAAGCTAAACAAAGAAGATTAGATTCAGAGTTCTTGTTTTGGAAAAAGGAAGGGGGGGGAATTGCTGTGGGACAATGAACTTGTATTATTTTAATAAAATGTTGATTCACCAGTATCCAGGTGCAGGGCAACCAGGCAGGAAGTAGAGGTGGGGCAACTAGAACAGGATTCTGGGAAGAGGAAAGACTCAGTCTGTAGTCATCACCCAGACACAGAGGAAGCAAGATGAGAATGTCTTACTGATAAAAGGTACCAAGTCATGTGGCTAACACAGATAAGAATTATAGATTAATGAAAAATGTAAGAATTAGTAAGAAATCCTGAGCTATTTTATAACTAATGCAAGCCTCTGTGTGCTTTGTTGGGACTGAACAGCTGCAGGACCAGGTGTGGCAGAAGCCTCTGCCAACATCTGGGTAGTATGGAAAAGGATGGTTTTGTGATGAATGTGCTCAAATGTTTAAAGATCTTTGGTTTGTCACTTGTATGAAGTGTCTAACACAGTTATCAAACTAGGTGTGACAGACACTAACAGCTTCCCTCAGTCTTCAATTTGGGGTTTCTAATCAAAGAAAACCACTATTTGTGAAGGAGAAAATACTTGTTCTCTTCCCAATATCCTTTTTATGGCTTGCATGAATGTAGTCATAGCTAGAGAAAATTACAAGGTAAATTCTCCTGAATGTGGGATGTCACTTGATCTATCAGACACTTGATTAAGCAGCATTTAAAAGTAGTTAATAGACAGAAGTGTAGAAATAGTAATATAAAGTTGTAAAAAGAGATAATATTTTAGTTTCATACTATTTTTTCCTAAGTAAATAAGTTTCATTTGTTAGTTTAACCCTCCAATTTACAGTTCTCCTTCCCAAATATCACAGTTAAAAGTTAGGGCAGTTTTACATTGTGCCTCAGTTCAAGGCAGCAATCACTAACAGGGTCATCATCAAAGAATAAAAAAATAAAAAAGACAATCAATGTTCATCATTAAGCATCTAAATTGCAGGAGATGGCAAGGCATAGCCCCCCACCACACGCAGTTCCTGAGATGCAGGAAGCAAGTCCCTTAAGGCAACCCAATGGCAGCTAAATGAGCATTGCTACTTGAGGGCCAAGGAGAAAACAACTACATGCCCCAGTACCACTTCTATGGTGTTTGCATACGCATTTGGCAGTGTTACAGTTGACTCTGGTTATAGCAATTCTACTACTGCACTTGTTCTTCATGTTCTTTTTCTTCTTCCACACCAGTGGCATCTGAAAACATGGATGTGCTGTATGAGCTCTCCTGCTCTGATAGAGTGGGCAGGCTTTGAAGCTGTAAAGCAGGTTATCGGGGAAAACCTGACTGATGAAAGAATTGGGGAAATTTGGGAAAAATGCAAAAAATGTTCTTTGCCTGATTATAAAACTTGGCAAAAGAATTATACTGAAACAGAAAGGAGCTTGGCTATCATGAATAAAGTTTCTGAGAAACCTAGGGCTTTAGGACTGACCACCTATGGCCTTATAAATCAAAATTAGAATGGTGAGGAACAGCAATGGGAAAAGTAAGACAATGGAGTAAAACACACAGAACTATGCCTCTGTAAACTGCAAGTAGTTTGCCTCTGAGGTGAAAGCATCAGGAGTTTTAATTTTTACGATTAACTCAGCTAAGAATTAAGAATATAGTGGCTGGCATGGAGCTTGGGAACTGGGAAAATGTCATGATGAATGATGATCTGATTTCAAAAATCTTTATGCTTCTTATGAACTGCTTTGCCCAGGAAATGTGGCAAGGAAAAAGAATCATTTTCCTTATGTAAAATATACAATAAAAGACTGAAGTTTGAAGCTCAGGGTAGAAGAAGAAGCTGCCCTGAAGCAGATAGCCTGTCAGCTTGAATCAGAATTTTGTGTTCCTGTACTCACTTCGTCTTCCAGACATCCCAGATTCAAGTCCCACTTCTCTGCTGAGGCTGGTCCCTGGCACTTTATCTCTATGGTTGCTCCGGGTCACGGGTCTGGCTAAATCCCTGCTCACTGTTGTTTCAGTGAGCAAGGGTGATACCAAAGCATCCCACTGAGCAGCATGGCTTTCAGGATAATGGTGTACCGGCGGAGCTCCCAGGAATCCCATTCCTGCAGTTTAATGGCTCTAGTCTATTCTCCAGTGATGTAGAGAAACTCAGCAACGTTCATTGACTTGCAGGGTTGACAGGTTAAGAACTATTCATTAGGATGGATTGATGTTCAATGTGCTAACCTTGTCTGCAGACTTATTTAAAGGAAAGAGAATAGATAGCATCAATGAAATACTTGTTCTCTTTATTTCTTTACTTACTTCCTTCTCTCTGTCTCAAATCTATGGAGTAGTTTCCGAAGACCACCGTTCTTGAATCCCTGAAAATGGGCAGCTGGGGCTCCCACGGTGATGACATCATAGAGAGCATCTGGAACAGAAACAGGCAAGGAGATGAACACTTTGCAAACATCTGTCTCCTGCATACAGTGTGCATTAAAGTATCCACTCTGCAGGAAGTTTGAGAAATTTTTCTGCCTTATTTTGTAGGAATAACTATGAACTCTCATCTCAAGGGGGCAACAAGAAAGAATCAATTTTTCTGAAAGCTACCTGTGTACCTCAACAAGTTATAATATTTCCAAGATTTATGACTGCATCTTAATTATATGCTACAGTGCAGAACAGCATTTTCTCCATTCCTGCATATACTTACTAAGATAACATGTTGATTGGTCTTTTGTGTGTTTTACTTTATTGAATTTTGCATCATTTAATTTGAAATCACATTGAAATTCAACAATAATGAACAATTTCTCAACCAAAGTTTTCAAAAAGAGGAACAAAAAATATTAATTTATTCTGGCTCAAGGGCAGAAGAGTACATCCACATTAAAAACAAAAATCTATCTGCCATTCCGTTTATCTATTCTAAAATTTACATAATGTTGAATACAAACTTTTGCAACTTCTTACAACAACAGAGAGAATGTAAAATGTCTCAATTTATTTTCCAGCCAGATACTTTGCTTTTCATAAAAACAAATCCATACATTTAAATTGAAATTCAATCTTTTGATCCTGAACTTTATGGCTTCAAAACATGCCATCATTTTATATTCAAATAAAAGATATTCACATAAGGAAAACAGAGTGTATGTTTTCTGGTTAAACTACATTTTTGTTGAGAAATCTAATTTCATAGGAGATCTTTCTCAAATTGATTTTGATATTGACATATTGGTTGTTTCTAAGATATGGTTCACTGAGAAAAACAAATCGTTTTATTAGTCTCGGGTGAACACCATTGCTTCCTCAAAATTATTCAATCTAGATCCATCTGAATTGTTACTTTTTAAAAATAGAATGTCACCACTCTAAAAATACAGATCAGGAGAAATAAAATACAACTTTCCATGTGACCCAGCACTTCATAGAGCATGGATTTAACAACCAATTAATGGACTGTAGTAACAGTCACAACATGACAATAACTTCTTAACTTTTGATAAGTCACTAATGAATTATAATATTTCTTAGGATAGAAGAATAATTATTTTATGAGAAATTTAATTATTTCCTACCCCAGAGATTTTACCTTATGGTTAAGACAAGGAATCTCATCCTAAGGATTAGTTTTCAGAGTATCAGAAGTACCACGGAGAAAGGCAACAAATGGTCAGATTCAGCCATGTAGTAGCTGGTCAAACACAATGACCAGCATGTCAAGAGATTACCAAAGATGGAGCAGCGGCAACATATATGGGCTGTAACCAACAGCTGTCTAATTTGACTTTAGACCTGCTCAATATAGTTAATTCATGCCTCACATTGAAAACATGGCGAACTACTTGTAGTAATATGGACCATAGAGGAGAGCCTAGTACTGCCACGTTCCTAAACCAGTGTAATCTCAAATTGCATTCTTAACACATATCTTTATACCCACAGATAAGAGAAGCTCTCACTCCTCTCTTTTCCTTAAATGGGTACCATTATGGAAAGTCACAACTGGCCAAAATACAAATAGCCATTGTGTTTTAATTAGAAAATAAATCTTAAGTATCAGGTCCTGTGAATTAGGTATGCTATGCTCTACTGGAATGTCACCATCCCTGTGAGTAGACAGAACGAGAAAACACTTGTGAACCGCTGCACACCAGCATCTGTGCCACTTACTCACCTGTTCTTCTGCACTAGACAGACGACACAAATGTGAGCCATGCTGATACCTTTCACTCCAAAACAGAACTATAAAACTTGTACAGTCACTATGGAAATCAATATGGTGGTTCCCCAGAAAGTTGGGAATTGATCTGCATCAAGGCCCAGCTCTACCACTCCTGGGCATATACCCAAAGGACATCCTACCACAAGCACACTTGCTCAACTATGTTCATTGTGACTTTATTCATAAGAGTCAGAAACTGGAAATAATTTAGATGTTCCTCAGCTGAAGATTTTTTTAAAAGGTCAAAGCATAACCAATATAACATGATTAAGAAACTCTAAATCATCACTAGATATATTTTAAAGAGAGAAGAGACCTTAAAATACCCTTCCCATTTGACCTTTGCAGAAATACTTGAGATCATCCAGTTGTGGAACCAATACTTTAGACAAATCCTAAAGTGGAGTCTCTATCATTTTCCCATGTCTCTAATCACCTGTGATATTCCATTAATGTGGTCCCTTGTACGGGACACCTAACGTCTGTGTCAGGGTGTGACAGTCCCACTCTGGCCTGGCATTCCTGTGTTTATAAGGATACTGGTTCTGACTCTCAGCCAGACTCAACCTTTAGAAAGCTTGGAACATTATGAATCTATTCTATGTTCATGAGCTTTGATGGCAAAGCTTTTTTTTTTTCTTATTTCACAGTTTTAAAAGGTTTATTTGAATTTTTAAATTTTAGCATTGAGAACCAAAAAAAAAAAAAAAACACAGAAGAAACCAACTAGAAAATGCCTATTGGATATTCTTCCCCAAATGAACGTGGATTTCAGTATGAGCACACTATTTTGTTTTACAGCTACAGATAAGGTCATGTAAGCTGTCCCACAACTTGAAATAACAGTGCATTGTATACAGTACGCACTCGACTTCTTTAAAACCAGTGTTTTCTATGGAATTCACAAAATTATTATTTAAATGAAGCTTAGTATTTTGCAATACTCATTTGAGAACCAACAATTACTGATAAATGTTTGAACAACTAGGTTTCTCTCTTAGGGTCCCAGGGCCTTGAATTTTACTCACAATTGCTACAGAATAGCAGATTGATCAAGTAGGTAGTTAATTTCCTAGACTGAGAATAATGAAGAAAGATGTCCAATTAAAGAGTCACATTTATTCTTAGCCATACCCCTTTAAAATAAGAATTAATGGCAATTGACTGTTTTTTCTTTAGGCCAGAGCAGATAGAATAGTTAGAATAGAATTACTCATATAACAAAATCCAAACTGAAAAGTAGCAATTTCGTAACCAGGAACAGTGCTATTATTTTAAAGTATTCATATTTCCCCACTCTTTGTGTATTTTCATAATTTGAGCAGTTTTTAGTCATATATGACAGAACTCTTCAGATTTTGGTGTCAAAAGACTATCATTAAAAACAAGGTGGAGTGTTGCATAGAAAAGGAGAAAAAAAAGTATTTAAAGGCCCTCTCCCTTTGTCTTTCTTTAAAAATGTGCCTGCCTTTATTGACATTATATGGTATCTGAAAAACACCTTTGGTCTCATGAAAATTGCAATTCCATGCCACAGGGAAGCAGCGTTTAAGTGGGTGAGCTTCATCAAGCCACAGAGAGCAGATTTATCTGAGAATTCATAATTGAGATGTCTTGTAACTTTTAAATGGCATTTAATAATAGAAATGAGATGGTTCTGTTTTTACAGGAGATCTTATTAAAATCTCCTCAGCTATAAAAATGTGTTAATAGAAAAATCTATGCATGATGATCTCATATCAAGGAACAAGTTAAACGTAATCCCTGATTTCAAAAAGGCACACAAATCCATTTGACATCAATCGGTTGGTGAGTTTGTGTTTCTAAATAGCTCAAACAATTTGGGATCATCGCTGAGCTAATCTGAGAAAGATTATCCATACTGAGAAGATGCTGCATCTCCACTCTCAAGATAAAGCATTGAGGAAACTCCAATAGGCCCTCTTGCACTAGAATAAAACTGTAAAATTCTGCTTGTATATCTAAGATTTATAGAGCTCTGATATCCAAAATTAGTAACGCATGAATAATACAGTTACATAAAAGAATTCAATAATATACATTTCAAATAGACCTGCCAAAATGTTGTTGCTCAATTAGAGGATTAAGTGTCCAAAACTAACACTAAAGTTTTATTTCTTTAAAGAAAAACAATTGCTTTAATTTGAATTCATTACATTTTATACCACAAATATACTACTTTATTATATCTAACATGTAAAAGGCTTACAACAAACTATGATAATCGTATAAGAATATGTATTTTATAATGTTTATAACTGATGGGCTATGAAAGTGAAATACACTGAGGTATTCTGGAGTCTGCACTTAGAATTTTCATTCTGGGGATTTTATCTCTGTTCCTGTTGTTATTTTCATCCGTGTTCAGCATCTCTGTTGTGGATATTTGTACACTGAAGTCATTAATAAAGATGAAAAATTAGTAGTCCGAAGGAACCTGCAGTTACCTGCCGGCTGCCTCATTTGTCGTTAAGAGGCATTACAATATCAGTGCTGCTCAGTCCTGTTCTGAGAGCCCGACCTTAGCCTTGCATTTGAACATTCTGCCCACTGTCAAACTGCTCTTCAAAACAGAGTCTTTGCAACCAACTCAAGCAGTTGGCAAATAGCTAGGCTGTGCTCTGGCCTAACGTGCCCAGTGTTCTGACAGAGACACTGAACAGAGAGCTAGCAAGTGAGAGTGAGGAGAGAGGAAGACACGGAGAATCTCAGAGGAAAAAAATTAAGGCAGCATGTAAGGCTGAAGGATTAGGAAGTTGTATATTCATATCAATAAAAAACAAAAGACAAGATCAGCAACCACCTAGTAAGAAAGGAAGGCTTCCCCTCAGGCTCAGAGGGTTACATGGCCTGGCTGACATTTGAATTTCTACTTGTTGGTTGGTTTTCATTATGGTAGTCATTAATGGCCAATAGCCATGCCAAATCACATTAAATAGCCCAGTTTTTGTTTGATTTTCTAAATTCCTGCCTCTTAGGCCCCAGTTGTTTTCCTTTCAGTTCAGAGAATCAGATGCTAAAAATAGCGTGATCAACCAATGTAGGAAAAAGGGCCAAAGAAACCCACCCTGAACCTGAAACCAGAGCTAGTGAAAGAAACCTACCCTGGATCTGAAACCCCAGACAATGAAAGAAACACTTTAGCCCTGAACCCAGAACCTTGACTCTGAAACAGGAAAAGAAACACACTTTGGCCTTGGAACCAGACCCAGTGAAACAAATATGTCTTAGCCTTGAAAATAGGGCCAAAGGTTTAAAAAGGCCAGTGAAAGAAACCCAGTTTGGCCCTGAAATCAGAGCCCTATCTGCCCCTGACCAACTAAACCAACCAATCCCTGAGCAGGAAAACTAACCAATCCCTGAGCAGAAAATCTTCTCCCTGGGATCCCCTAAGAATCCATACATCAACCCCTCTGCCTGTTCAGTTGCTGGCTGTCCTTCACCATCCTAGCAGAGGCAGCCACTCTCCTGGACTCCTTCTTCCCAAATTAATCTCTTTCTTAAAAGAGTTTTGGATGAAGATCTTTGCAGGAGAGGAGTAGAAGAAAGAACCTTTGCTGAGATGTTCCCTTTGGGGAGTTGAGAAAAAAAAGAAACAGTTATATCCTGCTGGGACACTCCCTAAGGAGTAGGGCAGAGAAAGTAACAACCCTTCTCAGAGTTGGAGGAGGTTGCTACATTTCTGCATGGGCTTCCTCTTTAAGCAGAGTAAAGCAGAAAAAGAAAGCTATAACTTCACTGCGACGTTCCCTTAGGGGTACAGACTAGACAGGGCTCAGCTGTACTGGCTCTCTCTAGGAGAGGAGCAGGATCACTACATAGTGCTAGGATACCATCCCCCATCACACCCCAGTTTCCGGTATAGCCTGGCTTCCCATCAAATCAGGATACCATTCCCTCCAGAGCTGTGCTTTTGCGGCAACTCCAGATATAGCCTGACTTCTAGACCAGCCGGGCCACCTTTCCCTCCAGAGCTGAAACACATCCTACCCCACAGTAGTTTATCTTTCAGGGATTTTGGAGCATTCCATAGTATACAAAATTTTCATAAGAGATAAGGAGTTGATAATATAACCTGTTTAATAAAATTGTATATTCAATCATTACAAATATTATAATGCCTTCCTCAATCTGAACTCGCATCCGTATCCATTTGGCTCCATGTGGTATGTGTGGGTGAAGACACTATCATTTATCCATGGCTAGAGTAAAAATTCCTCTCCTTCCAATCGTATTGTGCCTGTCAGTAAGTACTTATACATAAAAACAATTCAAAATGCTTCTTTAGTTCACCTCTTCCCTAATCCTGGCCAGTTCCTACTTCAAGACATATTCCTTTGATGAAACTCTTAGTTTCTCTAGTTTTAATGGTCTGGTGACATACATAGATACATTTTGACTTCATGCTATCAAAAGACAACAACATATGAACTGCTATTCCTATACTGCTCCATATGTCTTGGATACCCCATCTTACCTAATCACACACAGTATTAAGAGCAATGATGACTTAAAGAGTTAAATGAAGACCCTAGGTCAAATGTAAAGTGTAGTGCGGCTCTAAGTCACATGAAATCTGCTGCTGCAAGACACGGCCCTTTGCTGCATCGTACACACCTTGTCACAGTAGCTATTAGGAAAATACATGGTGGCAGTTCTTAAATATAATGTCTTACACTTTAGTGTTTGGTGGTTTTAAAATTTCCATATCATTCATGTTCACATTACTGACAGATAGCAATCAAGGAAGTATTCTTCAATGTCCTGATCCTTCCACCATATCCCCAACACATAATAAACTGAAAGGTGTGGGCACACAATTATAAACCCAGAGCCAGGAGGCGCATAAGGATCATAAACCTCATGTATATGGTAAATTTGAGGCCAGCCCGCTCTGTATGTAAGCTTGTCTCAAATAAAACAAGTTAAAATAAAGCATAAAATAAAACTGAAAAACAAGTTAAAGGGACTTATGATGTGAGATGTCTCTCTATATGTTGTGAATATGTTTTAATCATTGGCTAATAAAGAAACTTATTTGTCCAATAGCCAGGAAGAATAGAGCCAGGTGGAAAGTCCAAACAGAGATACAGGAATAAAAAGGGTTGAGTCCGGGAGATGCCAGCAGCCACCAGGAAAGCGAGATGTGAGGTAACAAGCCATAAGCCTCACGGTAAAACATAGAATAATAAAAATGGGTTATTTAAGTTGTAACAGGTAGTTCATAATAAGCCTGAGACAATAGAGCAAATAGTAATTAATATTAAGCCTCAGATTGATTATTCAGAGACTGGCAGGCAGGAGAGAAACCTCCAGCTACAGAGAACATTTGAAATATTTTACTTTCAAATGACAAGGGGGAACTAGAAAATATCTCATTGTTTAAAAGCACTTGCCACCAATCCTGATGGCCTGAATTTGATCCTTGGTAGGAGAGATGTGATTCCTGCAAGCTCTTCTCTGACCCCCGCTTAGGCGTTCTAACAGTGCCGACACATATATAAACACCAAACTCACACACAAATTCATTAAATGAGTGTAATAACAACAGAAAAAAACAGTAAGGATTTTACAGAACAATAAAAAAAATGTACTGTATCAATCACTTGAGATCCAGCCACTGTGCTCTGAGAACCCACACCTTTCTCATGGACAAGGGATCAAACAAAGTATTCTGCCACTTTCCATGGACCAAATTTCACCTACTCACTTGTTCCCACAAGAAAGAGTATTGCTGTTAACAGTCACCAAAGCAGACAAGCAGGGTGTAGCTTCACTCTGGAGTTTAGGCTGCTACCGAAGATAACAACAGAAACGTTTGTTTCCTATTTTTCTTTTTACCAATTAAAGCAGTCAGAAAATTATTACCCCTCAGCCATGATGAATGCTATTTTGGGAGATGAGACTGGGTTTTCATCTCTAATTCAAGTCAGATGTCACATGTGTAAGCTTTCCATGAGAAGTGGAAACAGGGTTGGTTTGTTTCATCGCTGAGGGCCAGCATCAGCTTCGGTTGTTTCGTCTTCCCGCTACCCTATCTCTTAACTACGGTCACTGCCACCATTAACCTGTTAAACAAGCACACACTGGACACAACTTGACACTTCCGGAGGAATGTCAGTTACCTTTGAGGTGAGGGCTGTGCACTTGCATCCGCTGCAAGTGTAGATTTATTGGAACAAATTCTAAAGTTTTCTCTCCTTTGCTGCTGCTGGATTTGAAAGAGGACCCTAGAAGAAGGAAGATCAGAAACGATTAACAAATGAATAAACAGACCCATAAACACATATGAAATATGTGTGTGTTCAAAGACACATTTGGCAAAAATGAATGATCTTACAAGAACTTCAGAAAGGAAAATATTAATTCCTTCACTTTCTTCACAAACATTAATTTTAAAATTCTTTCCTTTATTGTTATATTACTATAATAACACCATAATGCAGAGCTCATGCTCCCTTGCTTTAGATGATGAGATAAAAGAGAGACAAAGAGTTGAATCTTTGCTTCTCTCATCTCCACAGCAAGCCATTCCAGCTGTTGTCACACGGGACATTCAGAAAGCAGTCGCTGCTCCATACCTGTTTCCTTGGTAAGTTCTGTCAGAATGTCTTGGTACATTGTCACCATTTGATCACAGTGAGTCAGGACATTTTTCCGTAGGTTGTCCCAGTGTGGAGACAGGTCACCAAGCTCCTTTAGCTCCTGGTTTCTGTTAAGAATACAAAACAATAGAACATATATTTTTGTCTTTTATCTCAACAGTCAGAATTATTAATTAGGACTATCAAATGAATAACAAACTTTTCAATGTCCTTCTTAGGAAACTCTGACTTTATCAGCTTGAAACTAAAAAAATTAAATAAAATACAAGTATTAGAAGTTTAGACTATAAAAATCCAAAAAAGTGAATTTTTTGAAGAAATCTCACATACAGAAGATTTAGGTACAGCTCCCTTGTCATTAATTTCTCTCAAGGACAATCTCAATACGCTGTATGCATGTGTGTTATCTCGGCTTTATCCAAAGGAATACCTAATCCTGCCATTTAGGTTTAAGTTATTAACTTTTATCCAAATTCTAGCCTTTAGCCAAGTTAATTTAAATAATCAGATTGCCTTTTAAAAGTGATAGTGATAAATGGTTGGATACCCTGTGCAGCTGGATGGCTCCTCATTTCCGTGACCTTTTGCTGGCCACATTTTCATGACGCTAATTTAACCAGCGATAATGAACTGTCTTTGCTATTTTGGACATGAAACATACTAAATACCAAGCTAATAAATTCAGAAGCTGTAGAATCTTTATTATAGGAATGTTATGTGCAAGAATAATTGATGGTGTATATAAATGTGCCTTGTTTGCTGGTCTTTGTTGTTGATTTTGCTTTCTTTCAATGGGACTGTGATGAAGTCCACTCCATCTTTCATGTGGTCTTTAGTCATTGCCAACATTAATCTCATGCTCAGCTTTTCCAAAGATTATCTTTCATGACACAATATTCATTTGAGAAGTAATTAATCAGTAGAAAATGATAGTAGAAAGATTATGATAAAATGGGAGGTAGAAATAGAAGTTTTAAGAAGGAGGAATCACATTCTCTGACCTCAAATCATAGGGTGTTCAAATTGAGTACAAAAGAATGACAAAACATGCATGTGATTCCAGAAAGTTCCAGAATTCCAAGCCTAGAAGAAGCAGGACAAGTGGGTTAGGTCTAAGATAAGAGAGCTGTGTGGTACATAAAGCTAATTGGTTCTAGTCTTCGCTTTATAGTTCTATATGAATATTAGTGCTTAGGACTTTTATGTCCTATGAATAGATACGTGTTTGTGATTTATGATGCCTCTGTGTCTTCATTAGAAATACCAACTAAAGGTTTGAATGATGAAGAAAGGAGGACCCATGACAGCATTGCTGAACTTCATGTGGGATGAGCCCAAGTGGTTACGCATGTCCTTGATTATGAGATGTTTTCCCGAAACATGGTCCAAAAAGTTTAGCTTTCTATGGGGTGCGGATGAGTGGAGATAAACTGTCAGGAGTCCATAGGAGATGGGATGGAATATTGGACATATCTAACATGTCACAGTCTTGCAGAGAAATGCACAGACGGGTCTGGTCGTTCTAACAAATGACACCGAGAGGCACACAAACAGACCCATCAGCACAGGGTTGGCTCACACTGAGAAAAGCTCCCACAGAGGCTGAAAGCAGAGCAGCAAAACAGCAGAGGCAGCACTGAGCTTCTGTACAGTTAAACAGGTAATCGAAATAAGGTAATTATAATAACACATTAAAGTAGCTCAAAAAGAGTTTAAAAGGCAACAGAAATGAGGGAACCTCACAATCAGGAGGTCAGGGCTGGTTATTTTTAGCAATGTTTTGATATTGTAATTTATCACTAAGTGAGCCAAACTTCCAAGTTCAAACACCTCTGTCTCTCAGATTCTCTATCTATTGGCTAAGAGTCATTCTATAGCACATTCATTTTTCTACACTTACATCTTTCCTGTTCTATAAGAAGTTCAAGAGCAGTTGTTCACCGAGGAAGAGGATATTTCAACTGAAGCATTGCTTGACCAGACTGGCATATGGTCGTGTCTGTGGAGAATGCTTTGACTGAGGATTGACATGGGAGAGCCCGTCACACTGCAGGTAGCACCATCCCTAAGCAAGAGGGCCCAGGCTGTATAAGACAGCAAGCTGAGTGCGTTCCAGGAAGTGAAATACTAAGCAGCCTTCCTCCATGGCTTCTGTTGCAGTCCCTGGCTCAGCTCCTGCTATGACTTCCCTCAAAGCTGAATCATGAGCTGGAAGTATAAGCCAAATAAACCCTTTGCTGTCCAGATGAATTTTTTATATCAGAGTGTTTCTATCACAGCAAAAGAAAGCAAACTAGAACACAGTTTAATGCAACACTTTGTGATATATAAAGATGATGCAGTCTTAATGGTATGTGTATCATAAAAATAATTAAAAAATAGTTGTATATACAAACAAATAAAAAGTATATGCTTTGATTTCATATACATGCAAATAATATTACAATATTCCCTATATCTCCAATAGCACAATACTTCTTTGCAGAGAACCCACTCCTCTGTCAACAACAATCCCCTGCTGTCACTGGACTTCCCTCACTAGTGTCTTATCCTACATAATCTTCTAGCCTGTCTCCAGCTCCACCTTGTCCTCTAGCGGACAAAACGGAAACAGAGCAGGTTGAGGAAAACAGGCTGGATATTGAAATATTAATAATCACAGGTCCCTCACATGTACAAACATCTGCAAAGAAACAGATGATGGCTCAGGCTTGCAACACAGATAGTTCATGCTCTGTAGTTCAGGACATCCCACGCACAAAGTGTGGCAGTCTTCAAACTCAATGAATAATTGAGATGGATTCACAGCAATAACTTTAGGGACTATCTACTATCTCTGTGTGGTTTTGTAACATCCTATCTAAATATTTCAAAAGCACCAGCTTTCCCTGTCAGGAGACATGCAGGTTCCTTCAAGTTATTACGGTCCCCTGAACCTTCCACAGCATGGACTAATAACAATCCTGCCCCATGTGAAAACATATCCACTGAATAATACAGAGAAAGGAGATTTAAAAACAAAACAAGACTGTGCAGAGTGAAGGCAAGTAACTCAACACAGAATGAGTCTCACAAAATCTACATGCAAAACAACCAAACCTGCTTTCTATGTTTTATCTGCAATGCAGAAAACTTGCATGAGAGCTCAGTTGGTAAATGGCATTGACATCATGTTCCCTGTGCCTCAGGGTGACCTTGAATAGAGCAATGGAGGGCAACACTAAGCCAAAGCCAACCATGGGGACGGATACCAGCCCTCCACCTTCACCTACCCACCTCCTCCCATGAAGCTGCTTTGTATTTGATTTCAATGTCTAATTATGTTGCAGGAGGCAGGACATGTCTGTTGCAGCAAAAAATGTAACAGGACTTAAAGATAACTGGTGCGGGACAATTGTCTATATTTTGTCAATTATGTTTTAAATAAACGCTGATTGGTCAGTATCCAGGCAGGAAGTATAGGCGGGACAACCAGACAGGAAGTAGAAGTGGGTCAATGAGAACAGGAGAATTCTGGGAAGAGGGAAGCTCCCTCTGCAGTCCTGTCCAGACACAGAAGAAGCAAGATGTGACTACTCTGACTGCGCCACTGAAAAATGTACTGAGCCATGTGGCTAACACAGATAAGAATAATAGGCTAATGTAAGTTAAAAGAGTTAATTAGAAGTCTGAGCTAATGGGCTAATCAGTTTATAGTTAATGTAGACCTCTGTGTGACTTCTTTGAAACTTAATGACTGTGGGAACCAGGCAGGACAGAAACCTCAGACAACAGATAACTAAACAAAATATTAAGACTGGTGGGAGGGGATGGGTTGTAGAAGAGGAGGATTCCAACATGGCTCACATGTACTGTGAGTGACAGACATTTAGAAATTGTCAGTTACCATTATACTATATGTCAATTCCTTATTGTAAAACAAGCAAATATACATACATATGACTATATATTTGCATATAATAGGATATGTACGTGAATAACTTGAGTATGTATATATGAAAAAAATAGTTTGTGAGTCTTTATAGGAATATATCCTATATATTTTCTCCAAGGAACACTGATACCTAAACAATACTTCCGTAAAATACACTACATTTCCCTCTGCATGAGGCCAAGGGTGGCAGGAGCAATTGCAATGGGAATGAGGGAATCCGGAGAGAAACATCTGAAGTATAAGCTGTTCAGCTCCAACCATGGGCTTTTACTCCTCATCACTGACTTCACAAATATTCTCCCAAGTCTGCAGAGTAAAACTCATTGTGTGGATGTCCAGCTTGGCAATGGGCTTCTGCAAGCACAGCAAATGTCTTTCCTGCTCAAACAAAGGCACATGCATGAACACATTTATATTAGAAGGGTATATCCACAATTATAATTTTTAAGTGGATTCGTACATTTTAAAAAATTCCTGAAATGGTTAAAAGCAATTATTGCGACAAGTATCCGAAACTAGCAGGTAATTCAGTATACGAATGTGGTCAGAGCAAATCGCATGACAAAAATTTATATTCCAAAGACTGCGACTGAGTAACAGGACAGCAAAACTGTATTTTAAATTGTTATTGTCGAAGTAAATAGAAATATCTTCCCAGAATGAGCTCCATAAAACTATTTTGTGGAGTAAAAATAGCCATACAATTTAAATGGAAGACTTTGGTCGTTAGAATATCATAAAGCCACACGTGGGTGGGCACGAGAAGAAAGTTTAACAGTCAAGCTGTTTCCATTCATTAAGCAAAATTAGGCCTTAAATCAAACCCAGGAGAAGTCACAAAAATTATCTGTGAGGGAAAAAATTAAATAGTAAATGACCAGGGAAGAGGAGAGCCGTAAATGATTGGTGGGCGGCTTCCATTTCATAAAGGGCTGGGTGGCAGCAGAAAGCCAGCAGAGTTTAAGTAGCTGTCGGGTTTCACGGTGTGTTCAGCCCACAATTGAAAATGTGCTTCAGCTGATATGAGGATGACAATTCCGTCCATAAATGGCAGGTTTCTTTTTTTAACATGCATTTTATAAATGACTGTGTATTTAATGCTGTAATTGATGAGCCACTATTACACCGAAAATGGTGGAACCTTCTGAGTGGTCATTCACTCTGATTTTCATT